CAGGAGGCCATGGCGGATTCTGCGACGGGCAGGTGGACCACCCACGCCATCCAGCCCTGTCTACCGGAGTGGGTAGACAGGCGAGGACGAGGACTTGAGTTCCACCTGACACAGGTACTCACCGGGCACGGTTGCTTCGGTGACTACCTGTGCAGGATTGGTAGGGAGCGTACGACGAGATGCCACCACTGTGCGGCCGGTCGGGACTCGGCGCAACACACTCTCCAAGAGTGTAGCGCATGGGACGAGGAGCGTCGGGTCCTGACCGCAGTGGTCGGCGGAGACCTCTCCCTGCCAGCAGTGGTTAAGGCCATGCTGGAGGGAGAGGAAAAATGGATGGCCGTCTCCTTCTTCTGCGACAGCGTAATGCTGCAGAAAGAGGAGGCGGAGAGAGAAAGAAGAGGGGAGGCGGTGGGGGGAGGAGGATGATCCTCCTCCTCAACCACCATTATAACCTCCCTGTCCCCCTAAGGGGGGCAGATAGAAGCAGAGCCTCCCTGGACGATCCGGGGAGGACTCTTGCTAGAAAGGGCCTCATTAGCCCTTTCACATAGGGCAACCAGCGGAGGAGAGGAAGAATACAACCTGGAATTTCTGGGATTGTACCTCTCCTCCGAATTAATAATGGGCAGTAACAGCCGAAGGAGGGAGGATAATCTCTCTCCCTCGGAGCTCACACAGGGCAGTGGCCGGGGGGGAGGAAAGTACCAGCAATTGTTGGAATTATACCTCTCCTCCGGCGTGTGGGAGGACTTTCTCTCCCACAGAGAATGGCCAGAGAGAGAATGCCGAGTTTGTCGGCACCACACATCTTCTCTCTGGCGGGGGGTCAGCTGGGAGCGGGGGCTCCCGGCTGACCTCAGCCCCCCACCAATCACGGGAGGGCGGGGAAAGGCCGAGATAGCCCGGTCTTTCCCGGTAAAAGATGGCAACTACAAGGGAAGGGGGACTTGAGACCCCCTTCCCCCGAGATGAGACCGATAAACGGTCAAGACCGAGGGAGGGTGAGATGAATGCCGCTGGCGATGCCTCACCCTCCCTCCTTATGGTCTAGGAAGGCTATCGGCAGGGGTTTTAGTGGGTATGCCTGGGACATCTTCCCAGGAGAATCCCACATAACCCACGG